GTATATTAAGGCTTATATCAACTATATCACCAAGGTCGAATTCCTTATAGCCTTCAAAGCAGTATACCTACAATCAATAACTGTTCAAAATGGATTATCTGGATTCCGCGGAGCTGGATTAATACCCTTTGATTTTCAAACTGTTATTTCTAAGTTAGATATCAAATTACAAACATCTACACCTACCAGATTCTCCTCTGTAAAATTCAATCCTTGGGTTTCTCAAACATTTTATAACTCGAACAATACTCTTTCGTAATCAACCTTAATTAAAAATCAAATTGTACAATATCAAGGAAGCTTTCCTATATCTATATTTGAAACAGTTGTAGCTTTAGCTAAGAGTACAGAGATATTAGCTTATAAGATGATACTTATGAATATTAAGATTTATACTCTTCGAAAAGCAAATGAGATATTGAATAAATATCGTAAAGTTAAAAAGAGTCGAATTTATCAAAAAGGAATATTTAATATACAAAATGGATATGATATTATATTACAGACCAATATAGATAATTAGATTCGATATAATGAATACTTTAAAAAGGGTAATTCAAATAGAAAACAATCAACTTTACATTGTTATGACTTTTGTAATAAAACTGGTTATAATATACGAACTTGTCAGAAGGATTTAGAAGACTCTAGTTTATCAGATTCTGAATAGTTTTAATTAATTTTATATGTTGTGATTATTGAATAATATTTTGAAATGATTGAGTAGTGAAAAAGTGCGCGAGGCACTGATATGCGCGACGCACTGATAAACCACGTTATCTATTTCAACTAACAATCAACCGGGTTCCTCGTGACATCCCCTTCCCCACCAGTTATCCGATCCGTCCGTGTTTTAATTTCATCGTCTCTCTCATCACATCCTAAGCGTTATTCTCCAACCCCACCCCACCCTCGATATCCAATTTTATTTAAATCCGCTCGCATTTATTTTATGTACTTGTTTGCAATTCACCTTCGTTTGTTACGAGTATCCCACGCTCTCCCATCCTCCCATTCCCATTCCCATTCCCATTCTCATTCCCATTTTCAAACTCCCCAACTAAACACCACCCCAAATACTCCCCCAAATCCAAACCACAAATCACAAACCCCCCCTCTCATACCTCCCATCCCTCAACGCCCGCAACCTCTCGTCCGCCTTCCTAAATTCTTCCTCCAGCTGCTCTTTCTGTCTCCTCCGAATATGAATTTCGCGCGGATCTTCTTCCGTTGCTGGAACTGGCGGTCGAATATTCTTGTTTTTGCGTATTTGTAGGGGGCGGATGATAGGCATGGTTGGGTCGATGTGTGGCTGTGTATCTGTGGAGGTCGGAAGGAAACTGGTGTAGGTGGGGGGTTCATGCTGGAAGGGATGTGGTTGTGATTGTGATTGAGGAGGAGGGATTTGTGGTGGATCGAAAGGTGGAGGAGGGGGATGAGGGGGCTGAGGAGGTGGCTGTGGAAAATTAGGGGGTGGAATCGAGGAGAATGCAGAGGGAAATCCTGGTGGTGGTGGTGGTGAAGCCCTCAATGGATATGATTGTCCTGGCAGTGATTCCCGCTCCAGTTGACAAGTCTCCGAACTCAAGCATACTTTCCCACCCCCATCATCACTCCAACCCCTCCCATCTTCTAATCCTCCCAGAGGACTAATCGGACTCATAGCCCCATTCAGATCCTCCACTGAGCTACATGGACTCACATCAGCGGTTTTAATCCCCAACGCCACGGCCCAAGTACCTTTCGTATGGTTCTCGTCCATATCTGCTGGTACTTCTGATGGTACTTCCACTGGTACTTCCACCGACACTTTCACCGACACTCCCTCATCCCCATAATGTAATACAACTCCCGGCTGTTCCTGTTCAATATGCTCTACAGAAAACCTCCCAGTCACATCCCTACCAATCTTAGGAAGAACCCTCGTATTATTTGCATAAGTTTTAGGGATTGCAGGAACCTCAGAAATCTTTTGATTCCGAGTTTGATTCTCCGAATTTGGACCAAACAGTCGTCGCCGAGATGCCTTTCTGGATATTTTGGCAGGGACGCCGCTCGTTGCAATTTCTTCATCGAGTTCCTCATTGCGCGATGGTATAAATTGCGAAAATGTTGTCATTATAGACGATCTGTCATTAACCGGAGCTTGATCCTGCACTAATAAATTGGTACAGGGTTCGGGCTTTGACGCCGGAGTAGACAACTTGTTCCGATGTCGAGCTGATTGCCAACCTTTCTCACTATTCTTAGGGCTAACAGGTGGGGATATCGGGATAGTAGAGTATCGAGGGCCAGGAATAGTTTCTTGTAGCGGCTCTTGAATATTTGGCAACACAGGGTTATTTCTTGTCTGTTTCTGGGAAACGTCATCGAGGGTGGTGCTCCGAGTAACTTGATTAGATAGAGGGTGTCGGGGATGTATCACATCCGCTGTATTACTCCTCTTAGGTAAAGCAAAACTCCAAGAGGGTTTCTTCGTCGTATTGTTCCTATTCGGCGCATTGTCGCGCCTCGGGGGCTCAACGAAAGTCGTGGTATGCTGCGAAGGCGCAGAAGGCACTTTCTCCAAAACATTTCCCTGCATCCACTGAGCTCCCTCAACCCTCTCCTCAGATCCTCGAGTATATGGTAAACTGGCACTGAGACCCTGAGGATGCAAGGCATGGGGCCGAGGAGGTATAGGTACAGGCGACGCTTCAATACTCTGAGAATGAACCAGATGATCCACAGCATGGTGCCGAGGAGGTATAGGTACAGGCGACGCTTCAATACTCTGAGAATGACCCGGATGATCCAAAGCATGAGGCCGAAAAGGTTCAGGGATCGGCATCGACAACGCCTCAGTACTCCTAGAATGAACCGGACGATCCACAACATGATGCCGAGGAGATATATGAAAAGACGACGAAGGCAACGAAGTCCCAAAATTTCCTTTGAGAACCGCAAGTACATCACCGATATTATGCGGTGTTAAATTCAAGGTATCTCCATCGCTAGACGTGATGATCCTCTCCAATCGTGCCTTATCAGACTGCGAGAATTCAGTCTCTCGGCTTATTTTTCGGGGTCTGCTCGAGTGGGTATCCTGGGTCCGTCTTTCTGATGGCGCTGGAGTCGCGTGAGTATTTGTAGGATTTGTCCTTCTATGGTGGCTGTTTTCTGCATCATGAATTTCATATTCATCAGCAAAGGGACTCGAAGCGATATCGTTCCTGTAACGCCTCGCATGCCACTCGGAATTCGATTCATGAGTACGACGGTTCTGAGGTATATCGATAGGCGCCGATGTCGTTTTTGATATCGCTGTTTCGGCACCGCCAGAGCCCGCAACTACACCCTGAAAGTGGAGGTCTATAGCTTCTCGAGGCGTAATATATACATACCCTGTAGCATCATCGATCCTCCGATCATCTGTCAATCCTGACAAATAAATATTTTCATCCTGGCCTTCGATCTTCTTGCCTCCTCGCAAAATACCTGCGGTCGTATTAGATCTATTGAGCCCTTGTTTGACATGACTCTGTGCGGCGGGCAGTTTATTCTCACCTGTTGCGCCTGTATCCTGCTCACTCTTGGGCCGGACTATCATTTTCTTCAGACTTCCGAATACATTTGGTATTCTGGATTTGCTCTTAGCCGGAAAACTTTGGGCTCTCGGTGCGTCGGGCTCAGAATCGTATGCACCTTCGTTAGTCTGTCGATATGCGCCAAGGTTAGATACGTCGTCGTTAGATCCTGCATCGAATCTAGCCATATTAGTTGCATAGATATCTGGAGAGGCATTCCTCAGCCCTTTCTTCTCGCGTCGTGCCTCTTCCGTTCCATCTTGATATACCCTAACACTCTTCTCTCTACCCCTCTGATTCCCGTTCGTCACGATATCAAACCTTCCTATCCCCAACATAAAGTTATTATCCGCACCCTTCTTCCAGGTCCCTTTCTCTGCGTCAACTATACCACTATCAAAATCAAACCCGTTCTCCCTTTCCACCCACAATACCACAAAGTTGTCTCTCTCCTGGCCTTGGCACTTTCGACAGTCCACAAGATAGTGAGCTTCAGTACTTGATTTGTTGCACTTTTGTCGTGGTGTGCCAAAGTATGAGGGGCAGCGATGCGTATATTTTTGTTCGTGGTTGCAATTTAGTATTATTGTGTATGTATTGCACATTTCTGGTTCTTGTATATAATAAAAAAGAAACTGGATGTGAGAACATAGTTAAAGTGGATATGCACCACTGCATACCCTGAAGAAGAGAGTGTGAATCTTTGCTGAAAGAAATGATGATTGGACGGACAGGAGAAACTGGTGATTCAGGGAGAAGAGGGTCATTTGCTGGAAAGAAATCAAGAGCGACAGGAAGGATGATAAAACGAGTACACTTGTGCTATTGACCTTGAATCACAATTAGCGTTTCTTATAAGATCGATTAGTGCGTCTCTAACATACCGTCGTCATTAGCAGGCTTCTTAGATTTCTTCACTATCTCTGTTCTGATATACGGAGTGCCTCAAGATTATATTTCGAAATTCCCACCGTGAATCATCTTGAGCTTGTAATGCACAAAAGTCGGCAGAAATTGTGGATATCGTTAATAAGTATTGTCATAATCTATACCTTGAAGTGTCATGCAGACAAAGCCAAAGCTCGATTGCGCCTTGATGTCTCATAACCCTCTCTAACCTTTTTCTTGTCTATTGTGAAGCCATATCTATACCTAAACAACCATGAAAACAGCATGGCCAATATGTTGAACCATACAATCAACATCCAATCCTTGAGTCCGAAGGCAACCTTGTTCGGATTTGCAGGATCATATTCTTCACATACTTCCAGATACTTCTTGGGATCATCAGTGACAACTCCATCTACTTCATTCTCGATACTCCATCTCATCCATTGCTCTTCATTAACGGTCCATACAAACATGGATCGTTTCGCATCTCTGGTATCGGCCAGGAATTTAGATCCGCCAGGTCCGACTAAAATCTGGCGTAATATATTGAAATTTATATTTGGTACGGATAGAAACTGTCTCGCATATCCTATTGAGAATCCGATGTGCGTGATGGGGAAATCGGGGAGGTAAATGGCGCAAAGAGGAATGTACTTGGCCTAAGATGATTGTTGTCAGTAAATCTTTGAGGCACGCAGAAAATAGTTTGATGGGAGCGATTCTAGGTGGAAAGGAGAGAATAACATACCGCCCAGCAGCCCAATAGAATTCTCTGATTCCAAGGTCTAGTTGGTTCCACCTCTTTAATCGTTGAAGCAATTAAACTCATTATTTGATCTGCATTATTATCAAGCTTTTGGCTTTCGTCAGCCGAATTTCCTTCCGAGAACTGTAATACATATGGCAAAGATACCTTAATATCTAATAATATCCATATATCTTCTAGTCCAGGTGTAGCGAGGTATTCCAAGAGATCTCTCAGGCGGGGCATCGATTCGTGAGGGGCCTGGACAGTTCGAAGGGTAGATATGTATGACCAGTCGCAATCTATGATCTTTTCATCCTTTCCAAAACATCTCTTAAGGCTTGGATCCTTGAGAAGCGCGTCAGCCATCGTTCGTACCGAAAATGTACTTCTTGTGGTCACAACACACATGTGAGATAAGTAAGACCCCGTCCTTCGAAATGTGCAAATCGGTTTCTATCGCATGCGCGCCCACTTCAACAGCACCTCTGAATGCGCCCATGGTATTCTCCGGATTCGCGGCTTTATATCCTCGATGCGCAATGGCCTGCGGGAGTATTCGACCTCGCCGATCCGGTTTGGCTAACGTGAAAGTTGCTGGCGTGATATTAGCCACAATTCCGAGAACTCTCGAGGAAAGGACTCACAGTGAGGGACCTCCATTTTCTCTTGCAGTAAAGGTTCTGATTCTGCCATCGTAAGTTTGTGGATAGGTAGGCCGTGAGATATACACCTAAAAGCCCTATTCAATGAATCGCAAAAGGCGTGCAGTGTTAACTGCGGACCGCTTTGATCGTTGCAGGAATTTGGAAACCTCGATCCTGGAGGAAACTAAGAGATGTGCTGTGCTCGAATTTGGAAGTTCAAAAAGTGTGTGGACAATATACCGGTATATGTATAAATCCGACACAATCACTTGTTGAATGATTTCCCTATCCAAGTGCCAGAACTGCTCTGCGTGACGGAGCTGCTGTATCCAAATAAAAGCGCAGAGTTCTATTTAAGGTAATGGCGAAGGAGAGGGAGGAAGGGCAAAATATATGATGGGATCTGCAGATATAGACGGCAGGGCGCGGGACGGGAGCCGTGTATATCTTGCTGTCTGACCGCGATGAGTGATCAAATGAAGTAAGTGCTAATAATTGGTCGATTTCAACTCCATCCAAAAGAAATAAGCAAAATGAGATGTACCCTAGTTGGTATGTATATGTATATATATACCAAGCTTCAATTGCTGCTATCGGAATGATGTGAGGTTGCCGGCTTTATCGGAGTGGATATGGAAAGATCACCAATGTCTCGTATTATTCTAGAAGTTCCATTCCGTTAATCGATACTGTAGCTTTATCACCTTACCACATCAAGCTAAGCGCTACCGGAAGCGAGAAGCTTAAATTGTCTCGACTTCTTTTCGTTTCCTACTCGAGTATACAGTACCATTCTTCATCACTTAAACCTCATTATTCAAATTTTGAGAATTCATCTGCTTACTTACCTAGGTACTCGAGATACACTCCATTCATGTATCTACTCTTGATTTATGGCTTCACAGACGGGTCCCTCGTCTCCTGCAGTCCAACTCCATCAAGATACCACTTCAATTTTATCTGGCAGCATAGAGGATAGCTGTCACATCTTGGAGAATGGAAGTGCGTGTCACTGACCAAATAAACGTGTTGCAGAGGGTGACCTAGGCATATACATTGGTCATACAGAAAATCGGAAAACTATCTTCATCATTCATTGATGTTTGTTCAACAATATCTTCTCTGCACACCTTTCCATTGAACTCCGCATCATAGTCCAACGCTTTGTTTTACCATATATGCTTACAATGCAATTCCGTACGCACTTAGAGACACAAAATTCTAATCCCATGGTAAGGAACCTCGGTAGCACAAAGCCCATCCTCAATTTTCATGACCCACTCCCTCGGCACCCGGAAGGTCGGCATTTAGAAGGTCAGTGATGGTATTCCCGGATCTTCGTATGAAATCGCCGAAGCCTCCTTCACTCGTCGCATGAGATGTCATTGGGTGTGTCAATCCTTGGGGTTGCATGTTGCTCGTTACTGTATGATGCCCTTGGTAGGCAGGGCGCTGGCCAGAGATAGCGGAAGGTAGATATTCATTCAAGTTCTCTCCTCTCATGGCAGGAAATCCATAACTATCTTTCTGAAAAGCTTGAGGAACGTCAAGTGGATAGCGGCAATTCTTTATGAAAGTTTTATCTTGAGTTCCGAACGCAATATAGTTGCTGTTCAAATCCTAGACATTATCAGGGTCCGCAAGATTCGGAGCATTGGATCTGACTTGTAATCCGCGCTCGTTGGATTCTTGGGGAGTGAAAGGCTGCCATTGGTCAAACTCAAAGGTGGTAAATTGAGAAGGATTCGGTGCTTGTGCATGATTGTCGTCAAATCTGGAATCACTCTGATTCCCAAAACGTGGGCATTCTTGCTCTGTTGCCACCTTCTGCATGACTTTCAAGCAACCTGATATTTTCAGTCAACGTTCCTATAACAGACAACTTTACTCACGCAATTTGCTTGGCCGCATTCCTTCGGCCTCTTCGTGAACAAAACCATCTCCTGGTGTCTGTAGTTCTTTTCGATATTGGTTCTCACAGGACCTCGGTCGCTTTGGTGAATCTTGTACCAGAAATTCAGCAGGGATCGGAAACTTTTCAATCTCACCGTACAAAGAAGAGTCTGCTTGACTACAAACCGGATCTGCCTGAGTTTTGGTGCTATCTTCTGACGTACGAGGGCTCACTTGCTTGGTTGCGGTAGATGCTTGGTGCTCACCAGTCCCATTGCTCTCGGTGTGGGGCATTTGGCCATAGTCCGGATTTGTGGCTTTCTGTTTGGTGCAACCATGTCTGGACAGTTTCCTGCAGCCAAACCAATTTCCACACAAGGGACATATTTTACAAGCTATAGTTGTTGGTTAGCCGATAGTCTAATGTAGTATGACTGGCTCTACTATACCTTTGGCTCTCCGGTGTTTGGCGAGGCCCTCAATACTTTTGAACGTCACACCACACTTTTCACATTTTGGAGACTTCAGATTTGCTGATCTCAGTCCTGTTTTGCCAGCTGTAGAGGGGTCGCAGGTATTGTCGTCTTCCACGTCAGGAACTATGTCGCCTTCCATTTCAGGAGCTATGTCGTCTTGGGCGTTCAGCCGCATCGATCTCCTGGTCTTCAACATCTGAGTGGTATGACTGTGGGGTTTTTCTGGCGCCACACTAGTGACATCAGTCTGTTTTCTTGCAAGTTCTGCCAGAATATCAAGGCCAGATGCCTCCCCTCTCTCGCTACAGCCCAGTTCCTCTTTGGTGTTCTCTTTCTTCTGATGTCGTTGATGCTTGGCAATATCCGAGCTTCGAGAAAACTTACCACCACATGCAGAACAAGGAGGTTGACACCATGCAGGTCCTATATTTGTCAGTCCCGTCAGTCTAAATATAATGTGACTCACTATTTTTCAGGTGTTCTTCAAAGACTGTTGCAGAAAATGCGCTCAAGCAGATTGAACACAAGTTTGGAGATTTTAGTGCTGTTTCGCTGCGCTGACCGGACCTTTTCTGGGGGTATTTACCGGTTCGATTGCCGATTGGTGCTTCCACGCCCGATTGTAGAATATTCTTGACAACCAACTCGGGTTTGCCCATGACATTTGATGCATCTCCAGCGACTGTATTGACTTTTTGTTCTTTACCTATGTCAACTGCCATCGTATCTTCTCCAAGTTGGGCCTTTTCTATCGAACCGATTTCCTCGTCGGCATCCCAATGGCTTTCATCAAATTCTGAACAACGGTCAGCCCTATATATGGTTCTCTATCCAAGTGAGCTTTGACTTTACCTTTCGAGATCATCATCACACTTTTGAGACAACATCTCTTCTCGCGCACATCTGCTTCTCGCAAAATGAAATTGCTTGGTTTGACCAAAGCGTTCGCAAAGTCATTCCTTTCAGAGGATGATTCTACCTCATAAACATACAAGGAGGCATGTTTCCAAGCCTCACAAACCGTCTCTTTCCCTGATTGCTTGGGTACAGAAAGATTTTCTGCAATCGGGATAGCTCCAGCTGCTGGTGTGCCTGGTGTGCCCGGTGGATATACGATAAACTCATACTGCTTCTCAGTGGCAACAGTACCGGCTTTAAAAGTCAAAGCTATATTAAACAATGCGCCAACTGTACCTTCTGCGTCAACCCACATGTCACTGAGAATCTTTTCGGAATCATGTGGCGATCTGCAAAGTGGAGCGAGAGCCCTAGAAAATCGCAGCACGAGATTTTGTGTTTGCTCACGCAAATCCTCCTCTGGAAAAGAAGGATCCCGTATTATACTGATATAACTTGCCAGCGCAAGGTTGCGAGCACATTTCCAACCACCTGAGAAATCAAAAGATTGAGAGATTAGCATGTAGTAAATGCAGAGAATTGCATGAAATACCTCTTTGTGACATCGCTTTAATCTGCGCCCTCGATAGGCGGTTTTCCTTGAAGCCTGGGAAGTCTGTCATGAAAACCCACTGTTTCACCGCTGCCAATGCGAGACCACGAAGTAGGAGCTGGGGATCCAGATCTTTCCTAGTCCTCGCAAGTTCCAGATTTGTCCAAGTTTCAAACAGAAGATAAAGAAGGCTCTGGAGATCGGAATTGGCCTCCATAGTATCCAAAGCAGGCCATAGTAACCTTATCCCGTTCTTGTGCATCATTGACTCTAAGGCCACTTTCATCTTTTCCATGAATGCGTTGATCTGCTTAGGACCAAGTCGTACTTCATATTGGCCATCCATATTCTTGAAAGTTGCATCCTTCTCCAACTCCTTAATATGTTGACTCTGTTGCCAACTTTGTTGTAAGAGTCCGTACACAATCGTCTCCCTTGGATCTCTGCTCATCATCTCTCTTCGACTCCGTGCATCAATCAGGTTTCTGTTTTGCACTTCGACTTCGATAATTTGAGACTTGAGCATCTGATTCTCTTTTTGGGAGTCGATTGCGACAGCTTTCCAGTGCTCAAGGAGTCTACATGTTGAAGAGTTTACTTGAGATCGAGACTCCATGCTGGAACTAAGTTTATCCGGGTCTGTTTGAACGGAATTGCCGTGCTCCAAGCAGCTTTGTTGACGTTGACGAAAGACCTTTTCAATGGGGAAGCAGGGAGAATTCGGGGGAGTGGGGGTGGGAAGATTCGACCGATTACTCTTGACGGTGAAATCCAAGTTTTCTTCTCCCTGGGCAGAAATACTCTCCAGTTGATTCTTGAGAATGAAGTCTTCACGACTGGCGAAAAGAAAGATTTTGGGAACCATTTGAGACTGCATAACAATAACTGAGTATGTTTGGTTTTAGGTACTAGGCATTTGTTTCATATAGTTCATTTGTATACTCGCTGTTGATACAAGCAGTATTGGTTATCTATTTAGCTAGTCTAGTCTACAATACTGGATTATTTCTCTTCCTAGATTTTCCATTGAGAACCAACGGATTTGTTTGTTTGGAGCAGAATTAAAGTGTATGGGAGTAGGGGTTAGATATCGACAAGGGGTCCCCGAAGTTACTTTGTGACTGATCATATTGGGTTTCGGTACTCGATTACAAGCGAACGAGAGGCAAACAAATCCGGTTGGTACTCAGCGAATGCGATTGTTGAAGAAATTTATTGCGCATATGTCGGCATCACAAACGCACAAGGGCTGCAAACAAACAAAACTAAATTCAGGGTGTTGCACAGCCTTTCGGCTCTGTACTATGCGTTGATCCCTAACCAATAAGTTGTCCCCTGTCTCGTATTTTATAAGGGGAATGTGTCTTTACTTTATGAGTTAATTGGCTCAAGTCAAACCTTGGTATCGAACGGGTGGTTGATTGATAGCAGAAGAATCGCATCGCTGCATTATGCAGATTGTTTGAATAAGTCAAAGGAGAAACCAGGGTAATGGGAAGTAAAGTGTGTATATATGAGGGGCCCAACCCAATTGATATGCTATGCCGAGTCGGGAGTCAACCTGGAAATTTTCTAGTCCCCGTCGGCATTCTCCTTTCCAACCCTTCCACCCTTTCTTTCTCTCCTTTCGTATATCACTGAGTTATATGGCTTGCATCTATCAATGATTTGATTGAAGTCACTTGAATAACACAGGTACTTCTACTTGGAGAAGTTTTCTGTCCGTTTGCAGTAGCATATATGACTCATTCTCGAGGATTTTCGATCTTTTTGAAAAGCGGTACATTCTATTACTCGGTTTGTTGTAGTGTTTATATATGTTTTTATGTGTTATATGTAATGCAGACAGAGCTCGAGTATCCAAATACTCTCGCAAGTCCTAAGAAAGTAGAACTAGTATCACAAAATAGGAGAAGAGAACAGAGAAGGTATTCTAGGGTGGGAGAAGATACACTAAGGGAAGGTCACTTCACTAAGATCACAAGCCCCGATCTACGATTTATGATTTGTCAAATGATGCATATTTCCAAGACTATCTAAAGAGACGTCATAAGTTGCATGCAGAAGATCGAAGGAATTTTAGGATCAACTGACAGCCAAACCCTCCGAACCGCATATTCGTCTGAGAACCTATCATCCGACCTTGGCAGTGACAAACTCATCCGACTGAAGACCCAATATTATGCCTGACTCCAAGTTCCACCAGCAACAGTCGCATCCTCGAGGGGTCGACGGCGTCTGTGGAATCTGCACACGTGATCCCCCACGATACTTGATGGCATTGAATCGGCCAACGAAGTGAGGTGCAATCTGAGACTCCTATCATTTACTATTAAACCAATTGACATCAACGAAAATGGCCAGGGGCGTCTTCTCCGAATCTTGGAGGCATTTCTGACTCCCTCATATGTGCCACAGCTGCGTATGCATCTTTCAAGCGAAATCAATAATGATGAATTCCACCTCAAAAAGATCAATGGCTCCTCACAACGAGTATGAATGAGGCTTTTCGGGCGGGTCATGTTGCGATGAATGAAAATCCTCCCGACTATCAAGTCAAAGGAAAGAGAGGGTGAGTAATAGTATCCGCAAAACTGAGTTCTGTATTGAAAGAAATAAAATAGTACGGGCAATACAGGCTCTTTCCCAAAGACTGGTGGGGTCGTTTCCTTGGCGATGGTACCGAATGGACGATGTTATACAAATATCTACACCCGACGCCAAATGACTTCCTCTACCAAGCGCTCAACTCTTCGAAATACGTTCTCGGCTCGCCACTGCATTACATCGATTTTCTGTTGACGACAAGATTTCCAAAGGCTGGCCAACGTCTCGTCGCTTGGGAATACTCTCAGATTTTCCATTTCCCCCAATCAGGCGGCTCTTTCATAGTTTATGGCTTTGTTTACCGTCGACAGCACGTGTATACTTCTATCGCTTCTTGGTACGATTTGGTGCATGGCTATATGGACCAACCGGAGCAGTACTGGTGTCTCGAGTGCCTTTCGGGCTGTACATCAAGCGGACCACACGTTCTGGTCTGAATGAACCAAATGCCCTCAAATTAGTTGAACAGTACACATCCATCCCAGCACCACGTTTCGTCGATGTTGGAAACCATGGAAACGAAATATACCTAGTCATGACGCGCGTCCCTGGCCAACAGCTCCGACACATTTATCACTTGATGTCTTATACGGAGCGTAATCGTCTTGCGGATGATTTAGCTGATTATATCTCTCAGTTAGGGAGAATTCCTAATACTACAGCATATATGATCGGCGGTACGTTAGGAGGCCCAGCCATTGATCATCGAATGCCCAATAGTGGTATCGGAGGCCCTTTTAATACCGAAGCCGACTTCAACAACTTCCTCGTCAGCCATATAGAGTCCACATCTGCTAGAATTCTCGGGGAAGAAAACGAACCCAGGAATCATCGCTTAGTTTTCACTCATTCAGATCTCCACTGGTCGAATATCTTGATGGATCAAGGAAGGCTGTCTGGGATTATAGATTGGGAATGCGCAGGGTTTAAGCCAGAATATTGGGAGTTCACTAAGGCTATGTATGCAGTAATGTGGCACAAGGATAAAGAGGAACTTATCAAGAGGGCTTTTGGGAAGAAGTATGAGAAAGAACTGGAGGGGGAAAGGAGGTTGTGGGATATAACCCCTTTTGGTTGTTGATGGCCATATTTGGAAGCTGGGAAACCAAATATATGTTTCTTTGGTTACGTGAGGATTCAAGAAACGATGGATCTGGTGCTTTTCGGGTTAGCTTGAGGTCTTTAGGGACACAATTTATTCCGGAAGATCCAAAAGTGGTTCAAATCAGTATTAGTCAACCAAGTAGAGAACCACAAGATGAACAATGTGCATCTTTGGGCTCTCTATCCGCACAATGTAATAATGCACAGGTATGTTCTCTGATAGTTATGTTAAATCGAATCAGTTTTATAAAAGTAGATTTTAGATCATGGATTACAGATTGCTAGCGAATATATTTGATTTTAGATTAATTTCTGGTCTTAGTACTGAGTATATAACGAATATAAACAATGTGTTTATTTCTCCTCTTTTCCTTATTATTTCACTATTTTCATTAATAATAACATCAAAAATACAACCTCAATTCGAAATTCAACCAGCGGTCACCCCAATAGATATACAAAGTGTACTCGTGTATAATTACAACCAATACTCTCCTCTCTCTCTACTCAACCCCACTCAACCCCATTCAGTTGAGTAAATTTTGTTAGGCGAGCGAGCACCCTTTCCCTTCCTCAAAGCTAGAGCCTAGAGGTCAAAATAACCTTATCGCTTATCCCTTAATTATCTTATTAGTCCCTCTCTTCTCTACTAACTACCCCTATACTTTATCTTCCTCATACTTTGTTGTTATCGTTATCGTCATCCTCATCATCGAAATCAAGCTTACCTTTAATTTCAGGCTCAGAATCATTCACGATATATCAGTACCAGTACTGTAGTGAATAAGAGTTTATGTGAATATTGGGGGGTTCTACAGTAGTACTAAAGAATCGTCTATTCGGTATAATATAATAGTGGAGATGCGTACGCGTAAAATTGAGGTTTGTTCCCCGGATAAGGGGTGGATGGATGGATGGTGATGGGTGGTGATGGGTACCGGTATAGCCTATGTACAGGCATAGGTATGGGGTAAGTAGTTGACGGGTAGATATACGTATTTTGTGTAAGTGGGCCTACAATGAAGTTATAGTTATATGCGTATTGAGGTGAAAGGAGAAAGGAGGAAATATGGTTGGTATATTTATGAGTAGTAGTAGTGGAGAGATAGATGTATTACATGTGGTGGGTGTGGTAGGGGAGGAAGGAGATAGGGAAGGAAAGGAAAAGAAAGAAGATAACCGAGTGAGTGTAGATCTTTGATTTGTAAGGTTCTTGGTTGAAATATTAATTGAGGAATAGTAATTATATTGATAACCAATATCCAATTTTTTATGCAGCAGTATTATATCTGGACCCAGCCCATCTGTTGTGGTTCGAAGGTAATAGTGTCCATCATTCCATGATGTTCATAGAGATTAGAATGAGATAGTAGTCATGACATACCATTCAAAACACTGGTGACAATCTCCACAGTCTCTCCTCCGTCTTAAGAACTTTATCATATTGATTTCCAAATATCCTTTGAAACATCGTCATCAGATCTTTACGGCCCCAAACCCCAAAGATCGCATGTGTGAACTCCCAATATTCCGGTTTGAAACCATCGCATTCCCAATCGATAAGTCCACAAAGACGTCCTTGATCCACCATTATGTTGGAAAAATGCAAATCCGAATGTGTGAAGAATGACCGGTGGCCTTGAGGTATATTTTCTTCGCCGTCATAAATTTCTGCTAACGTGACATCATTGCCGCCCACCTCACTGAATTTATATATGTTGAGATCTAATTCGGTATGAAAAGGTCCGCCGATTCGATTCGGGATGAGGTGGTCATACATAGGTCCACTTAGCGTGTCCGCGAAGAGGTAGGGAGTGGTGTTTGGATTTTTTCTTAGCTGTGAGACGTACTTTGCGAGGTCATCTACAAGTTGATCCCTTTCCGCATATGACATTAGATTTATCGATTCTTTAAGCCTTTGACCATGTACTCGTGTCATAACTAAGAGGGTAGTTCTAGTCTTTGAATCTTCGATGACATCGACGCTTCGAGGGGCCGGGATAGAGGTGTATCGCTCGACCATGTTGAGAGCATTCGATTCATTCCAGGAGGTTCCATTGGTCTTTTTGATATAAAGTCCGAAGGGAACTCGTTGAACCCAGTGTACATCCTCTGGTCCATAGATCCGTTTCCCGATCGCAATCATGTGGCGATAGCAGTATAATCGTGTGGAGACTGGTGCCCACAACCACAATCTATGAAAATCTCTTTTGAATATTGAGATAGGCAATCTGAATAGCTGTTGTAGAATACTAGGCTTGGGCCACCCACGATTGATTTTATCCTCAATGCTAAAGAGATGGAGGGCAGTAGTAAAACGGCGGTGGATGTCAAAGAGAAAATCGCTCGGCAAAGGGAGGTTTCTGGGATTAGTTGTGGATATACTAAACCACGCTCTAAATCCTGAAAAGTAGACCCCGTTTCCAAAAAAGAGATTTCTGGGTGTCTCTGGATGCTTCATTGCCAATGCATAATACTATAGCCATAGTTAGTCAGATCCTGTAGCTTTCTACAGTTATACAACCCACCATCTCTACCTGTAAGGCCTCAGTATCCACAACATCGGGTTCATCAATCCTCTTCCGTACTTCTATGTGACCAGTACGAAAGGCTTTATGCATACTCGGGGAAAGCAACCAAAGATTTTGTAAAAAGATCGCATCGTTTCGAATGCGACCAGAAAGCAATGTTCTCAACCGATCAACTTGAGATGTAGAAAGAAAGGCTTCCAGGATGATAAGTAAGCGTCCCTATATCAGAATGTGAGAATTCTTCTACCTACGTATAGTTATTTTCCAGTAAGCTTACCTCTTCGGCGGACTCGATGTTTTGAAGAAAGGAGGGAGGGATCACGTGAGAAGATTCAACAGGCTTAGGCGCCGGTCTCGTATCACTTTCTCGGAACATAGTCACGGTGCAATATGGCCCGTCTTCATCCCGAACCAAAGCATCGAGGCGTTCAGAAATAGGGTCAAAAGCCATTACTATCGATCGTTAGCATAATCCAAATGGGGGGCTGAACATTGTACTAACGCCGACTCGCCAACTTCCTCCAATCCACTTTGAATTGACGCAACCTACTTTCCACATCGTTTTTGTCTTGACTAATTATTAATTGTATGTATTTTGCTGCAACTTCAGGGTGGGTGGCTTCTTCGACGAAATGTTTCAGGAGCAAATGTTCAGTTGGTGACAGATCTGCAGAAGATATTGCATCTATGGCAGACTTGATAATAGCTGCAGCCATCTGTAGAGTTAGAGATTTAGATCGAAGGACAGCTAATACATATGTATGTTCAGGGCGAAACAATCAAGGTAGAGAAGTAACTTGATCACTGATTTGTCACAATGTTGGGAGTTGTTGGGAGTGGTTGGTATTTTGTGAGGGTTGGAGGCTTGGAGGCTTGGAAGGTCGGTAAGGGGTTGTGCTATAACATTGGCCAGTGCACAAAAACGAACAGAAATCATCATGCGACTTGCGACTTGCGGATTGGTAGGGTTATATCAAAGTGAAGCAATACAACATCAAAAAGCCATCTAAGAATGAATTTTAATATTCATAGGCTATGGCGAAAAGTAATGAACTTTGACTCACCGCCAACAATAATCATTGTGAAGAAGTATAGATTCATGAGATATTCCCAATCCCAATATGAAAACAATGATTCAGTAACCATTGCCTTCTCTCTTCTCTATCGAATTCTCTTTCGAATTCGCCTTTGCCTACACCCTTTATTTCTTCTGCTCAAATAACTCCGTCAAGCCTATCTAGACCTGTCTTTAGAACTTAAAGTTCTAGCTTCACCCAACTTACCCACACCATCTTATTATCTCTTCCATCAAACCGATACAGACTCGAAAATGGACAGATCTTCCGCAAGAATATTAGACCCAATACCTCTCGACCCCGCAAGCTTGTATATCATCCTCAACGATATTGGTGACCAGGTTGAGTTCCATTGGGCATTGTACCTTGCGAAAAGCCCTACAGAAAAGACTGGCACAGGAAATTTATATCATGCCACCAACAGGCTTGGGGTGAGCAAATTTATATTCCAAGAGAAAGTCGACTCCAACCTCAACTCGTCCGTAAACTTTCTTGTAGCAGTGAAAATCGGCGACATTGAGCCTTATCTTTGGGACAGCCTAGGAAATATGTTGCATCCACCAGACCAGCATCCAGATGGAAAGATGCCCATTGACGACTCAACCAATTGTCGTAGCTGGGTTGTGAAAGCACTCGAACTTCTGGACGATTACGGATACATCAAACTGAAGGGTGAATCCATCACAAAGATTCAAGATCAATGTCGCAGAGCTGCTGCAGATAATTGGACGTCTCGCGAAAGAACTGTCGAGAAAAGTGGCTACAGCTTTGCTTAGTGGTGCATCATTGCAGGAGGGTTATCTTAAGGATAAGGACAAGGCAAGGTAAGAAAATATATATTCCGAGTCAAATGAATTAAATTGAATAAAATAACTCGACGATACTCAGTATACTTAGTCATTACTGTATATAGAAGATGTACCGATCAAAGAACTGAGATTGTATAAAATATACAATGCCATGTCATGCTATATTATTTACTTAAGCCAAGAAACAAAAGAAAGAAAATAAAACAAAGAAAACACGAAAACACAAATGATTTTTAAAAGTTGATTTATATTCTCATCTTAATCATCATCCACAATTACGCTGAAGAATAATAAAGCTAGCAAACCACCACCACCACCACTATTCATTTTCTAACTCAACTCGACTCCGCTCAAATTTTTCCCCATCTGCGGAGACCTGATCCCATTCGAAACATACAATCCAAACCATGTTTCCTTCGATCTCGCTACCCCACTCCACCCCATTCCATCCATTGAATTATACACTTGCTTCACATATTCTACAAAAGGGCTGCACCCACAAAAGTCAAACTAGCGAGCAATACACCGATAACCATGGAAGACTTCTCCATTGGGGCCAATGCATTTCCTGCACTTGGCTTGGAGGTACCAGTGCCAGTGCCAGAACCAGTTGCAACAGCGGTTACCGATCCTGATCCAGCAGTGGCAGTTCCGGTTGAAGTTCCTCCAGAGTTTTGGGATCCAGCTCCAGTCAATCCAACACCTGCGCCGGCTCCACTCTTCATGAGAGCGGCAGCACCAGATGGGATGGCGGGAAGATCATCAGATGTCACGTTCCAGGTGGTAGATTGAGATGGGCAGTCGGAGGCTTTGTTGGTAGAGCTATATCCACCATCGCCACTTGGGTTTGCGGTTCCTGCAAAGGCGGACTTGAGAGCGGAGAAATCATCTTTTTCGGTCACAGAGTCGCCTTTGATGGTTACGAGACCATATTTGGATCCTTCCTCGGAATATTCATAGACGAGACCACCAGAGTAAACTGCAGTCATATCAGTGCTGTATAGAGATTTGACTTCTTCGAATGCACGGGTGTTGGTGTTGCAACCATACTCGGAAAGGCTATGATACATTAGTTTCAGTATTTAAGAACGAGACAAGGGGACTTACAAGATAGGAAGTCCGTAGTCAGTGAAGTTCTTGACTTTTTGATCCCAACCAGAGACTGTGAATGAAGATGGATCACACCAGGAGTAATCGTTGAAGGCAAAGAAATCACTACGCTGGTCATCGGTACCGCAGTTCATGTATTGGGCCATCTCCAATCGGTTCGAGTCAACATCGGCTGCAGAGTATCCAACGGGGATTGAACGATATCCACGGCTTCCGATATATTGTCTCATGTCACGAGTAACTGCCTTGACGTATGGGGCAGCATTCGTTGTGGTATCATCATTGATCACTTCGTTTCCTGAAAAGAATGCCAAGGTGTTGGTGTAGTTGGCAAACGCATCAATGGTAGCAAAGATGTTTTGGAGGTAATCGGAGTTGTAGGAAACGCCTGGGGTGGCACGGTTGAGGGAGTACAATGGTGTGTTGACGTCGAGAACCAAATAAATTCCTGCGGCTGCCAAAGCACTCATACAGTCATCGTGGTTGGCACTGTTGTCAACCGAATAAACACGGACAGTGTTGATGCCAAGGTCCTTGAATTTCGCAATATCACGCGTGCAAGTGGCCTTGTCGGCAATAGGGTCGACGAGTTTGGAAGATCCTCCGGGTTGGTAATCGACTCCACGGATATAGAATCTGCTGTCCCCAGAGAAGAAAGCTATGGCAGATTAGTAAATTGTTGAAGAGCCCATCAATTCCCAATAATCTTACCATTTCCTTTAGTTGTGATAGCAGTAAGAGATGTAGATGAAGCTCTTGGTGCCAAATTCTCAACAGGAGATGGAGCAGCCAAAGCAGAACCTGCAACAGCCAAAGCTGCAATTGTGTTGAAAGTCTTCATCTTGATTTGAAGTCGTTTAATTGATTTCGATTCGAAGTTTTGGAATTACGAAAGAAGATGGTCGATCGTAAATGGAAGTTGTTGAATTAATGAAAAAAAGGGTACTGTTGTAAATAGATTTGTTTGTGAATGCCTCAAAGAGAGTGAGAGACGATTCAAGAAGGATCTAATTAGAATAGAAGTACAAGTATTCAATAAATGGCAACTACAACGAACGATAGTGCCAATAAAAGTTATAGAAGTAAAGCAGAAGTTTTTGATGTTGGAAAGAAGATTGATTTAATATAATAGAAGGAAAGAAGAAAAGAAGAGAGTTAAGAAAAAAAGGGATGCGTCCAGATTTATCTACAATAATTAGCCAAGACCAATGAGGTGTTGTCCAAGGGTTCTCGTTCCAACTTCTAACGCCATGCCTCCATCATTTATGAGCCACTAATCCTATTATGGTATAAATCTTTAGGGATAGTCAGGAGTTTAAGCTTGGTATTCAAGGTTTAGAGTTATTTAGTGGAACCAAGTAATAATAAAGGCTCGTGTTAAGGTTTATTTTAAGAGATCGGGGTTTGTCTTGAAATTTGAATATCTTGAAGTAAGAGCTTGGAAAAAACACTGCCTCGAAGCTTATAAGTCTTCCCCTTCTAAATGTAATAAATGTATCAAGTTCTTACCTAATATCTAGTAGGTAGTAGGTCCGATCTCGAACTTTATTACTGTATATATAGTTCATCAAATCACTTCACTTATATCATGAATCATAATACAGTAAGGTAGATACATCAAACCAACTGGCAAGAGCATCATCGTTATCATCATCATCACCCATCATCCATCCATCATCGTTATAACCAAACAATCACCCAATCAATCACCCAATCAATCAATTTCAAACACTTCCAATTATAAAACTACTCCTCTTTTCTCTCCACTCACCCCCACTTACTCCACCTATTCACTCACCCACCGATGGGCATCTCGATTCTCTACCATCAAACCGCATATCAAAAGGTATCCATCCGTATCCACCATCATATCCACCCCTCAAATCCTCAAGCTCTCAAACCATCCAAACTCACCAAATCACGATCTCCCCCATCAATTTGGTCTCATCATCCCATCCATGATCCAATGATCCATTATCCATTATCCATTATCCATCATCCACTTACCTAGGTACTCAAACCCCAACCTGATCTTATTTATAAAAATCAAACCCTCCAACTTATATAACTCTAGCTCCTTACCTAGGTATTTACTCCAACTCCATATTCAGCCCCCGTCATCCTGACATCTCCCGAATAATCCATGTATGAATTGCCAGATTACTTGAAACAAGGATAAGATCCATCTTTGAATTGCATTCTAGGTAATCCTGATCTTTGACCAATAACGGGATGGGATATAGAAGGGATAAATGAGGATCTACTATCTTCTACAAGCTGGTATGCGAGAACCATTCGATCCCATTTGAGATTTTGATTGAACAAGGAAGGGAAGTACGGTACGTGAGTTTCTCCTTTTAAAATCATGAGTTTATTACCTAGATACGTTCGTTTCATATTGCAAGTGCGATGGATCTTTGGGATTGAGCGTTCACACCACTGTACAGTGATCCTTACTGCGTTTCGCTTGGCGATACAATAAGAATGAGATGAACCAGGATTTCTCAACATCTCTTGGTTTTTTTTCTTGGGGTGAGTTATATTTTTTGTACAAGTACTTCAGTAAGCTATTGTTGGTTTATACTATGTACTCGAGTAGGCGGAGTGCTATTTTATGTATTTTATTTGATGTGGTAGGTATCTAGGAGTCTTCTGTGCATACTCCGTAGAGTTCGTGGTGCTATGATTATTGTTGTTGCATCTGTTCATCCGTTCGTCCGTTCATTTGTTTCTTATACATGTATTACGGCAATACATCGTTGGAATTGTTTTAAATAAGGCTGTGATGTGATATTACTAAACAGATCTATCAAGCAATTATTTTTGCTATCATATCTCGCAGCATCATCTTCTTTCTCTTTATCTTTTTTTCGTGGATTGAGACATTGTTTTTAATTAATAAATTTAAAGCTTGTTTTTTTTGGCAATATTCACAGAACCGTTGAAAATACTCTGTATATTGCACAGTACACACACCGCCGTTACTTACATCAATCATCAGCACTAGTCAATAAATATTGATTTTCCTTCCCTGGTAAGTCAGTACTGATTACTTAGATACTTATCTTCTCCTTAGTACCGAGTTGAAGTTCGGTAGTGTAATTGGAGAATTGAGGGGGTGACTGTTGGACACGTGATGTTGAAGCATTTACCGAGAACTACCTAACCCAATTCTCATTAACTTCACCCTTATTGTTAGCCCCAAGCTATAGCTTGAGTTTTTGTATGAGAGAAAGAATATCACGGTGGTATTGCTAACCATAGTGTACTTGGAAATTTATCATGCTCAACTTTTGAATTCTTGGGTAATCACTTCGCAGATGATCTCTTCATCCGCTCGGCATACAACTCTGCTTTTTGTCGAGTATAGTAATACATACAAGCAAGTGCTCTAAATCTGCACCAACTTTATCTATACGTATCCATCTCTAGTACGATGACTTGCACATCACTATTGCAACACAGTATGGACAAGCGAAAACCTCCACCCCAAAGTCTCAGCTCAACCTCCCCCATACCCATACCCATACCAATTCACCAATCACACCCCTCAGCCAAAACCCCCGCCAGCTCCTCCAACCACTTCCGATCAACCTCATCAAAGCCATCCTTAACCCCACAATCCACATCAATAATAGCCCTCACCACCCCATCCACCACAATCGGTACGACAATCTCACTCTGACTAGCGGCATCACAAGCGATGTGGCCTGGAAACTTTTCCACGTCGGGTATTAACTGGGTCGTCTGAGTGGAAGCGGCAGTGCCACATACACCGCGGGAGAAGGCGATGGTTTGACAAGCGACTTTTCCTTGGAAAGGCCCGAGGATGAGAGAGGGGCGGGATGGGAGTGAGGAGGAGTTCAGGGTGTAGAATCCTGGAGGAAATGGGTTAGTAGGGTAGGGAAGGAAAAAGGGGAAAAGAAAGGGGGAGACGAACCGGCCCAGTTTACTTCGGATGATGGTGTTGGAAGTGATTTATATGCGTGCCATAATAATGATGCCGTGTTCGATAGATTACTATTTTCTCGTTTTGTTACTCAATATCCTGGTATTAGATACTACCACTCGCTCATCACCCATCTCATCACCCATCATCATATCACATCACATCACCTGAACCACGATCGTAACCCAAAAAGATGTTCGAAATATTTACCAGACCTAAATCCCATTAGTACATACATATACTTATATATATATTCATCTCAACATCCCCATCAACATCAACATCAACATCAATGTATCAAATCCCCAAAAAACCTCCAGAAACAAAAGAAATTACAAAAAAACATACCCAATTCCTCTGTCCATCAAATAATCCCCTCGCTTCCTCTAATACCTGCGCATATGCCTCTTCTTTACTAACATCAGATTTGAAAGTTGAGGAGTCGGCGTGTACCTATGTTTTTTTGTGTTAGCTTTTCTGAGCGGTGGGCATAGGTGCCGTTGTGTTATTCTCGAATTTGGAGTTTGGAGTCTGATGTTGATGTGATGTGATGTGTGATGGGAAGTTTGAGGGTGAGATGGGATGGGGAGGAAAGAGGGGAAGAGGACAGACCATTTTGCTTGCTTGCTATTGGATCGATTTGGAATTTACCAAATGATGAAACTGTAATACTAAATCAATGGATGCTGGGGGCTGGAGGCTGGAGAGGAGATGAGAGGCGATGAGGGGGTTTGTGACAGGAGGGGTATAATGTGACGACAGTGGTATGGTGTGCTTGAGGCTGGGACTGGGACTGGTTTGATGTATAATTTTATTTAAGGATTAGAATGGGATGGAATCACTAGGTAGTAGCGCAGTGTGATTTCGGATTTTTTATCTTTATAACGAGGGGCCTCACAAAGTTCACATGATGAGGGGAGGGGAGGGGAGTGAGGAAAAAAGATTGCTAAGAGAAGTGGTCTGTGCGCGGCGGAGGAAATATGGTGCAAGGTCTCGTGATATATATCCAGGAGGGGTGGGGGTTTTATAGAGATTGTCGTGAAGATGTGTATTCAAATTCAAAGGCCATATCATACCATATACAATATGGTAGGTATCTTATAAATGGCTTTGGAAGGACTTGACTACCTACTTTCAGAGTTGAAAGTATCTGTAGATGCATTTTATTTTGTTTGCACCCTTTTATGCTATCCTATCCTATTCATTTCACAGGCTGGTGTGGCGTCAGTGTAAATCCACTGGACCACTAGTACTTACTTGGCTCTGGTATAGATGATTGTATTGCATTGTATTGCAACTGTACTGTACAATAGCCAACAGGAGTCGCGCCAGTGGTAGTAGGATAGCCTAGAAACTGAACGGATCCGGCTTGTAAGCGCTGGCCGGGCGGATAATAATAATTTTGTAACATAGCCGCATAGCCGCATAGCCGCATAGCTTGTTGGGGCTGTATATATATACATATATGGTGGGATTCGTGGTCGGCCGGCCAGACCTCGTGGGTTTCCGAGATAGCCATCTCGCGGTTGCTTTCAATACCTCCTTGCGACATATGGAATCACATGCGTGGCGTGGTTAATAAAAAAGAGGAATTTGAGTCCTGCCTCGTTGGATCTTGTTGCGTTTATTATTAGCTTGAATCTTTGGCGGTGTTTCGTCTGGATAGCCGGATCGGTCAGGTCGGGTCAGTCAGTGTCGTGTTTCCTGCATCGCTGCCCAAGAAGTGCTGTCACGAACGCTTAAATGTAAAATGGGAGGGAGCTGCGCTGTACTTGGAATTTCTTCTAATAGAGAGCTCGCTGTTGTTATCTTTGACGTACTTTTATAAGATGTAGGGCTCGTACGATAGTTACTTGCCCGTTTCCAGAATCTATTTTTACTTACTCTTCAAGTAAGTCGTAAGCACATCGTTACAAGGAAGTTAATAGAGTGCTATATCTTCAGTATTCCGTTGAATTCTAAAGCGAGATTCTTGCACAGAGTTTGGGCTTGCATATCCTCTGCCTACTCGGGGAGCTCATGGGTGTCATCTATACATGACTCAAGCCGGTATACCGGCTAGTCGACCACAGTGCGGATATAAGATGCCTCGCGCATCGATCCTTGGAAGATGGTTTCGTCCGCGCATGTTCGCTTAGTTCTGCAATACTCAGCCTGGTATTATCGTCGTTATCTGTCTTTTTTTTTGTAAAGCGCGCTGGCGATATGTACCACCACTTCAGGACAGAATCCCTTCACCATCAGTAAGCATCTCATCGATTCAGCCATACTTGTCCCTTTGTGGCGTTGCTGTCTTTAGATTCACGGGCCTGGTACCGCCACCATTGTCATTCTTCTAGAAGTTTGGGGAGTTGAGTAATTGGCCTATCAAGGAAGACTTCTAGGGTGGAGTGTGAAAACCAACTTGCATTAGGATTTGAGGAAGATTAAGAAATCGAAACATGAGATTGTGATTTATAATTGGACAGCAAGTTCAAATGAGTAATTGTGCTCACCTTTATTTTATGACAGTAAGTTCTTGCGCTGCCTTCATAAATCTCCCGCTAGTACTTCGAGTACTGACAACTGTGTCTTTTCTGTCTAATGCTTTTGTAAGTCGACCCGGTGACAGACAGTCCCGACTTGCGTATCTTACATTTATTGCAGCTAAGCAGCTTCAACGCGCATTTGATGGTGTTATGTTATCTCTACAGTAGATGGAGTAGAAGTGAGGCAGATTAGCTGGACGTCGCAGCATACAGTATGTCAGGGATTAGACGTATTATTTGAACAATTATATTATATAGATCGCTCGCTCGCGTTCTAAGGGCTTCAAAGTTCGGTCTTACGAGGCTGCGACAGACTATAGTGCGAAGTCTTCTACGATCACTGTCTGGCCATATTCATGCAGTGTAGCGCTCGACGACAACGGATATTTGGTATATATTGCTATTATTCGTTCTTACTACTGAGGTTCATACCAGGGTTTCATAAATGTCAAAGATTGTCGTTCGTGTAATTTCTGTGGATATTGAACGGTATTTGAAACCTGTATCTATGATATTTCTTCGATAGTCTAAATCTTCAAAGAGAGAAATGAACATACAAGGTTGTTGTCGACAAATTTTCCGTATTCTCTATTTCTCATTCGGGCTAAAAGAACAGCTACTCGGTATTGAATTGCATCAAAAGCACACTGTAATCCTTTTGCCGGGCAAACTAGGATTCAACTTCGTGAAGCTCAGGTTTAGACTGTACTGTAGTGCCGTAGGCTGGGCACATACACACAAAGTTAAGTCAAGCCGCCAATCGTATGACCAGCACCGCTGAGGCATCACTTGCTCATATTATTATTGTGGTGTGAAACAGACTGCCATTGTCTCCTCGCTACCCTCCTAACGTTCAAGGAGCTTAGCTTTAGATGTGCCTATTTCCACATGTAAAATTATGCGAGTTCTTAATTCTGTAAAAGGAAGTGTTTGCAAGAGAATGGAGAATCCTTCGTTGTGCCCCGAATGCATCTCTTGATTTTTCCTCCTTGGCACTCCCTTCCTCGTCCTTCCCTCTTCTATCCTGCCTCTAATAGTTAATCAGTGAAGTTACTTCAGTTTCCTCCTAATAATTGATATATCGCACTTCTTCCTGATCTTGGAGCTAGAATAGGAGAGGAGGTGGAGACATTTTGGGGGGGGAGAGGGGCTGATAATAATCATATAATCATATAATCAGTGACCATTGGCAACTATCATATAATCAGAATTGATACTCGGCTCTACAATCTCTCTCTCTATTATAACCTTCAAAACAAACTCATCTCTCAATGTTTTTGGCATTCATTCTATTTTTGATAAGAGTTCAACCTATTTTGAGCCATTCCTTTAGAAGAATACTTTTCAGAAAGCTTTTGGTCTATTTCTTCTTGCTCTGATAGTGAATATTAGCGATCCTATCCCTCTATAAGATAGGATGGGAATCATAGGATAGGATAGGAGGGGAGGGGAAATCAAGAACACTGGACTTAGATTCACCCGTCGGTTTCCACTGTGACTCTAGGATATATTCATGATTGGCCATCATAAGATTGAGACTCTAGGTGCTAGCTAGTGCACTTTCTTTTTGGGATTATGGAGAGACAAATCCCATTGCTCAAATTCCAGTTGACAACTTGACATTATTAGGAGCTGTTATTTCGTCTGTGGAATAGTTCTAAGATATCATGTCCTTGTGTATGAATGTAGCTCTCATTGGCGCATTCGAAAGGTAATCCAAAAAGCTCAAGTTAACGGCCAGTGCCCAATAAGGTCTAATGTGGTCCAACTTGAAACCACCATGTTACTTATGCGCTAGTCATGTTTGCACACTTAGCCGAGCTGATATGTCAAAGCTCTTGCCTTCCTTGAAGTTCCATGCAAGTCCAGTTTACATTTTCCAGGAGTCGTTTCATTTTAAAGGCACTTCCGGTATTTTCAAATTTGCTTGGTATTGATGTGCTTCCGACCTTATTAACAGAACAAGCGTCAATCAATGACATAACCAGTTAATATCGTCTAATCAGGTTTGAATAGGGGAACTGGTTAGACACCAGGCATATTTGCGCAGGGTTGACTTATTGCCAAAGAACTTCGTCTTCCTATTGCGAATCCTATGAGCGAGAAGAAAAGGACAGTACATAGGTGGGTGATAATTAAAGCACAATTTGTTGAATCTGGTCAACTGCAGTATTTTCCTTCATCAAGAACAAGACAAAATCATTCGGCGCCTAATACTGAATTTTACGCGTCCAATGATTTTACAGAGACTGTATTATATATGCTGAGTATAAAATTGTCCGCATTAATCAGGATTTCATCATTTGACTGGCGTCCATGACCATGGTATATATACAGTACCGGTATGTTGATGTTCACATATCTACTTGATTAGCCTTATAGTTTGAGTGGTCATTTTCAAGCAATGTTTTCATTGGCGATTTATTCCCCCACCCGTCGATGAATTCCGGTACTGCAATTCTTCCATTGAAAGTAATATTATCTGAGCAAGGCCCAAGAGATAGATAAACAAGATATTGGGCTATAACAAATGTCGACTTTGAAAAAGTTGAATGAACCTTGTGTTTGGGCATATTTACTGTTCAAGTATTTGAGAGAAGAACTACTCGAGTATCGGCAAAGTCTTTGGCTTCTTTGAATGTTTGCATGATGCTGGCAGGTACCGTCAGTGTCTTTCCGAGGCTAAATGTCATCTGCGAAAATACCCCCGCCATATTCGATGGGAATACCTTTGAATGTGTGGCCTGATATTATGTGCTGAAGGCTCATATGTAGGTAGTATGTAAAAGATCGCTGTCTTATGACCAATTACTCGAGCTTAGCTTACCAGATCTGAAATTCGTATGCCTAGACAGTGCATAACCGGTACTGCTCGTCGGGGATTGGATTAGATTCTCTGCGCTATAAAATACAAAACCTCTGCTTGGTACCAACTCATTAAAACCAGTGTGTCCAATAGTCTAAAGTCTAAAGTCCGGACAGCAGTCTAGACAGCTAGTCTATGATTTGATTGAACCAGATGAACTATTGGGAAAGATCTAATATAAAGAGTCTAGATTACTATCCGGACTTTTGGACGGTTTATAT